GATGTATTTTATCAAACAAAACACGATTAAAAATATGTTAAAGTCATTTTCCAGTTATGTTTTTTCTATGAAAACTATTCTTTAAAAAAATCACATATTGTAGGGCCTCCCCTGGTGGCTCAGCGGTTGAGCGCTGGGCTGCGAGGCTGCCCACAGCCTCTGCAGAGCTGGTTCGATCCCTAACTGCCGGCGAGGGTCCCACATGGCACACAGACCTCTCCTGCTGCACCCACTGCTCCCCTCAGCACTATATTTCATCAGTCTGCCTGTTCTGTTCCCCGCTCCGGCTCTGGTGAAGTCTCTCACCCTCCCACGCTTCTGACTGTACCCAGTGCTTGTATAAATAAATAAGTAAATCTTTTTAAAAAAATCACATATTGTAAATAAATGCTGACTTAAATTGGCATTATCGTCATTGCCATTCCATTACAATCACTCTGAATATAATGATATTTAAATAAAGCTGTCTGAGGTTTTATATTTTTTAATTGTAAATAAAGTATGAAAGCAATAAAAAGACAGGTGATGTAAAAAAAAATTTTAAAGTGTTACACTTAAGAGTTTAAATTTAAGAATAATAGTAAAAGTCACAAAAGGCATCAGTGTAATGTTATCAGAAAATTCAGGGTAGCAAGAAGAGATACATGTTTATAAACCACACATCTGGTGAACTGAAATTGTGGCCGGAAGTTGAACAGAGCTATGGGAGCAATGGCTTTTTGTACAATTCAGTGATGACCATTATTTTCTGCTGAGAGTCATCTTTGAGAAAAATTAAATGTTTACTGTCAGGCGTGTTTTGGTACATGTCAAGTGGGGTTAATTTTATTGAGTCACATGGGGAAGAAGTGTGAGTCTAGCAGCTTAGGTTACCTAATTTACTGACAAGAACATGACAGAAGAAAGAGCACTAGAGTTTTCATATCTGGGAATATTAATGTTTTATTTGGAAATAATTATAAAGAGTACAGAGTGGTTCTGTGCAGCCTCTACTCACTTTCCCCCAATAGTTACACAATGTATAGCCACAGTATATTATGAAAAGCAGGAGGTTGACATTGGCACAATAGGAGTGCATTGTTCTATGCTGTTTTATCACGTCAGGATTACAGTAGCCATCACTGCAATCAACATACAGAACGAATCCATCCCCATGAGATCTACTGATGTTGATATTTGACCCGTTTGAAGGAAGTCTGGAAACCTTACTCTCCTTAAAGTGTCCTTAACCTACCTATTTATAACAAAACTGTCACCAGACAATGCTATATACTTTGCTTCATCAAATACAATTTTTCTAACTCAAGAGAAGGAAATTTTGTTTTATTAAAGCACATATTTGCTCTTTCTCCCTTTCAAATGTTCCAAGTTTTTTTCCCCTAAATTTCTTTTCTTTTCTCAAAACTTCTTTTATTCCTTCTTCTCCCATAAATACACAGGCAATTAATTATCTTAGTTTTCCTTTTCTGGAAATATCTTTCCTTTGCCTATATTCTTGAAGGATAATTACACTGAATATAGAATACAGAAATACCAACAGTTTTCTTTCAGTACTTGAGAATATTCTGCTTTCCTTCTAGATTCCATGATTTCTGAGAAGAATTCCATTATAACTGAAATTATTTTTCCCGATTGACAAGATATTTCTCTCTCACTGCTCTGTTGTTAATTTTCCAAAGTTGATTATGATTTGTCTTATTGTGGATTTCTTTGAGTTTATCTTGTTAGGAGTTTGCTGAGATTTGTGAAGTTCTAGGTTTATGCCTTTTGCCAAATTTGAGGAATTTTCAGCTATTATTTCTTTGAATACTTTTCATCCCTACTCTTTCTCCTCTCCTTCAGGGCTCTGCTGACATGAATGTATTTCAGTCAATCTGCTGCTCTGTTCCCCACTCTGTCTCTAGTGAATCCTCTCATCTCCCCGCATCTCTGGCCTGTACCCAGCTCTTGTATGAATAAACAAATAATCTTAAAAAAAAAAAAACCAGAGAAAAAGATATCAGTAAAATAAAGACACCCTACTGAATGGGAGAAAATATTTACACATAATACATCTGACAAAGGGTTGATATCGAAAATATAACTCTACAAAAAGAAAACAATTAACCCAATTTAAAAATGGGCAGAAGAGCTAAATAGATACTTCTCCAAAGAAGACATACAGATGGCCAACAGGCACATGAAAAAATACTCATTATATTTATCATCAGGGAAATGCAAATCAAAACCACAAAAAAATACCATATCACACTCTGAGAATGGCCCATATTAAAAAGAACAGAAACAAGTATTGGCAAGGATATGGGGTGAAAGTACACTGTTGTAGTTTGTGTACTTGTGCACTATTGGAGGGAATGTAGGCTGGTCCAGCCCCTATGGAAAACAATATTAATTATGTTTAAATTAAACATGGTTCATTCCTCAGTGGAAAACAAAATATTAAAAATAGACCTACCATATGACCTGGCAATTCCACTCTGTGGTATCTACCCAAAGAATACAAAAACACTAATTCTAAGGGATACAGTTACTTCTATGTTCAGTGTAACTCCTATTTAGAATATCTAAGTTATGGAAACAGCCTAAGTGCGCAAGGACAGAGGAGTGAATCAGAAAAAGATGGTGTGTACATACACATACAAATACACACACACACACACAAATAGAATACTACTTAAATACAAAAAAAAATGAATTTGCCATTTGTGACAACACAGATGGAACTGGACAGGGTCATGCTAAGCGAAGTAAGTCAGAAGGAGAAAGACAAATACTTAATGGTATCACTTATATTGGAATATAGAAAAACAAAATAAAGGATCAGTTAAAACCAAAATAACAAACCCCTGATATCTGTCTGCAAAACTGAGAAACCAGAAAGGAAGGGTGGTGAGGTGGGAGTGTTGGGTGGAGGGGACTCAGTAGAACATGGTGGAGGATTGTTGGGGCATAGGTATGAAAATGTACGTTTGTAGAGGTTTGAATCTATAACCCCCAAAGCAGATACAGCAATGTAAACCAACTTTACCTCAATAAACATAATTTGAAAAAAAAGTAAATAAATAAAATACCAAATTTCCAGATTTTTCCAAAATCACTCATTACACATAAATTTCCAAAACATCAAACTAGAATTCTGCAGCTTGACAGCTACATGGCATAGGACCTCTGAAAAGTCCAAACCTCAATTTTTCTCCCTATATCTTTACATAAAATTGCCACAGGATGATGTGCCATATTTGCTGGTTGCTTCAGGTATTGCCTGACATCACTACAAACTCCCAAGATCAATTCACTCCAGCTTGAGACAGGTAACACCAGGTAAAATACTCAATAAGGCTACCCACTCTTACATTTACTGCAGTACCAGACACCATCTACATTTATGGACCTACTAATATTTATCTTTATTTTAAACCTAATCCAAAATGAATGAGCAAAATGAATATGAAAAAAGGCAGTTTTTACATGTTATTAAGATCCATAGGCCATATTTCAGAAAAACCGCAGTTCCAAAGAGCTAGCATGATGGAGTGCTTGCTAGTGAGATGTATTAAATAAATAACCACAAAGCTTCTTTTACTGAATTTACAGCGATAAAGAGTTAAAACTTTACGACTTCTCACCAACAGTCATGCAACTCTGCAATCATCTGGACTTGAATTAAGAGAAGATAAGTCGAAATTGTGAGATCTCAGAGTTACAGAATTTTGGAAAGGAACATGACTGATTTTATCTAGTTCTAATTGTATACAGTAACCAGGATTAAGCTACAATGTTAACCCAATAGAACAGCTTTAAAGTGCCTGTTTGGACGGGCTGCTGATAATGTGTTCTGAAGGCTAATCCTCACTGAGAATAGCAGGCATTTCTGTTTAACATCTAAAGTGGCCATTTCCATGCAGTAGGTCTGCCAAATTACAAAATCCTTAATCCTTAAAAACCAGTTATCAAGTTATGGGGATAAATATTATTTCAGATATTGTTTCTAAATCACACTTTATATTTTACCATTTCAAAGCCGCATAGTCCAAGTTTTCATAAAATGTGAACCATACATATAACATAAAAGTCAATGAAAATAATAAACCCTCCCCATGGCTCTTAATTTAGTAAATTAATTGGCTTAATAACTCTCTCCCTCAGAGAACAATCAAAGAAAGCTATGCCTTTATCCCATCTGTCTATCCACTTTTGCAGCACACAGTACTGCCGAGCAGGATGCCAGGCTAGTGACAGTGGCCACAGCCCATGGTGGCAAGCAACATCCAGGGAAAAGAGGACTCTCACACCCAGCAGACAAGTTCAGGGCATACCCTGCCCATAGCACATGCCTTCCTTCCCCACTGACACAAGGGCACAGTAAACAGAAGCAGTATTCACATATAGATAGATTCCCTATAAGAGGAGAGTATACTTATCAAAAGACTTCAGCGTCTAGTCCCAAGGAGTCTTTGAAAAAAAAAAAAATATATATATATATTAACAAAATAGCATTCTCATGTGAGTTTAGTTCCAGCAGCCTGGAACACAAGAAGCTGAGGGCCAAGCTCGGAAATGTAGTCATTATGCTGAGGTAGAGCTGGCTCAACCATTACTAGGCCTCTCATACTTGGCCTTCATCCATCTAACCATATAGTTGAAATGTCGCATTGAGGCAGAGCATATGGTTTAACAGAAAACCGTCTAGGACTCTGCCACCACTAGCCAAGTTGCAATGAGTAGTGTCAATTCATCTCTCCAATCCTCAAAGATTTGCAGATCTTTTAAAATGAGAGTAATAAGAACTATTCTGTCAATCTCACTGATATGTTTTGAAGCCCAGAGTCTAAATCTAACACAAACAGCTATCTGAATAGAAGGTATTAATGCTATCATCATCACATGCCCTGCAGCCTGAGCATATAATTGATACACTGAAACACATGACCACAATTATCTGAGAATTGAAGACAAGATGAAAACCACTAACCCACTGAACAAAATCTAGGAAATCCTACCTCTCAGCAACTGGTTTGGCAATGTTTTCAAAAATGATCTCTTGGTTTACATCCTGATCAAAAATCCTTTGAAATCTGCAAATGTGAAAACAATAATTATTTTAAAACAGAGTCTTCAAATGCTATTGGATTAATAATTTTTCTGAAAGCTTTAAATGACTCCATATTTATATCACTGGGCTTACTTAACCTAACACAATATTAGCCCTGTGGTCCCGGCCACACTGTGCTATGTACCTCTGTATACAAATGATGGATAAACAGTACTGCTTTGACAAGATCTGCACAATAAATCCCTCTGAAAAACTGCAGCAGCTTTGAACCAAATAATAAACTGTGTGTTTTTTAGCTCTCAAGAGGGACAGTGTCTGCAATTGGCATCATATTCAAATCTAGATAAGTGCATGAAATGGAAACCCAAGAACAGGATGTAAACAGCCAAAGAACTTCTGATATCTGACCTGTAAGAAAAGAAGACAGCTGTGAAAAGTATGATGACTCAAATTAGTTTTAAAAATTTGAATTGAAGTTTATTTTCTCTTAATTAAGTCTGGCATCACAGTATCAGCCACTTAATAATTTGTAGGACAATTTTGCTTCATTCTGCTCATCGTTAGTCAAAAGTCAAAAAGAGGCTGGAAGGGATCATGCTCAGCGAAATAAGCCAGAAAGAAAAAGAATACCGGATGGTCTCACTCATAGCAGGAATCTAGAAAACCTAAGTAAGGGACCAGGAAAAAGAATAAATATAAGAAAGAAAAAATCAAAATCAACAAACAACTATGAACCAGAGACACACAATGGGGGGGGGGGAAGGAGGAATTGGGGTCAAAATAAGGGGGGTACAATTGTATGGGGAATATAAAAATAAAAAAAAAAGATACAGAGGATTCTACTATGCAGATATACATGGGGAAAAAAAGTCAAAAAGAGAAGTCTATCAGGTTGCCAGTTCATAATATGGGAAGGTGGAATGGTGTCAATTTCCCTCATCTTGCAGTGGCATTCTGATTTAGCTTAGCACAGGATCACAAGCTCAGTAAAATACCTGGAATTAGAAACACATTGCTACCAGCAAATATGACCCCATGAAAACATCATGGGGAGAAAGTGAGGGAGGGAGGGACTGATGGAGGGAGGGAGAGAGAGGGAGAAAGAGAGAGAGAGAGAGAGAGAGAGAGAGAGAGAGAGAGAGAGAGAGAGAAGGAATATGAATGAGAATAAGCTAAGCATATAGGGCAATGAGTTAATAATTAAAGACTCTCTCACTAAAGAGTGCAGGAGAGTCAATTACAGTATTCTTTTACTTTTCTGTATATTTAAAAGTTTTCAAAATAAAAACAGGTGAGAGGGGTTAAAGCAAAAACCTGAAACAAACATACTGAGGGTATCCTAAGCAGTTTTCAAAGTGACTTAGGAACCTTTGGTCTATGTGTCTGCCTTGGCAAGTGAATTGGGCAAATGTCCAATTAAAGTATAGACTACATGAAATTTAGGGCCGTTTTCATTAATGAGTTCAGAAGGATGTCTGGAGTAGCATTGGAAATATAACATGAAATGAAATTCATTTTCTTTAATCAACATTAACTTCAAAAGAGCCCTAAAACTGACCAACCTCCTTTCGGAAGAAGCAAATAACAAAACTACATAAAAGAGAGATTGTAAGGGACTCTGGCTGCTATGTCATTTTGCAGCCAAGATTCTATTTTACACAGTAATATTTACTGAGTGTGCCTAGAACACTCCTTAAACCCCGAAGGTATATACGAGCCTCAGAGATGAACACTAGCATAACACAAGGGCTCTGGAGGATGATAAGGCTGGTTTGCTTTTTTTACCAGGTCAGTGATGACTAAGTTAATCAATTAGCCATTCCCAACCGCACATCTTTAAGTGATAGGAATTACATCACACGGCATGTAAAGCAAAAGAGATGGCAGGAGTTTTAGTAAATCACATAACATGCATTAAATACCAAATATCATCATCCCTCCCAATTTTTTATATAATGTAGTTTACAGTAATCTGAAAAGGTATTATAATCAGCTGTCTTCTGAAAACGACTGAAGAACAAAATAAAGTCACAGAGTTTAACAAACTCAGTCTAATCTTTTAAACAAGTTGCGGCCTATGGAATAAAGCCATTCACTCATGGTCCTGGAACTAGTCAATAAATTGCCTTGAGCTATAATTTAGGATTCCTGATTCCTAGGAAGTCTCATAAAAAGGGGATGGTCCATGTTCCCCGTCCCACCTAATGGCAGGTGGAGCTGTGGGGTGAGGAGACACAGGAAGTTGAAGAAGACACAGAGAAGTCTTGGAGGAGACATGTCGAACAGAGACATGTGATAAGTCACACTTGCCTATCAGCTTTGGACTTGCACCAGGGACTTGGGGGACATGGAAGGAGACACATGGAGTCGGGACATGTAGAGACACTTGGAAGAAACAAGTAGGCAAAATCACTTGTATAGGGTAGACTCTTGGGGAAGCTGACAATGGCAGTCATTACTTTGATTTGTACCTTAATTTTGCTCCTTTTGAAACTGGGGCACTGCAGCGTGGACTGCAGGGCAAAGTTGGTATTTTCCCATCCCCACTAAATGGCAGGAGCCATTGGAAAAACATGACAGTTTTCCCTGCCGAGTCAGAAGTTGCTGCCTGTGAGCAGCCCCTCCCTCAGGAGCCATCTGGGTTTTGACACAGAGCTCATAAGGGGCTTCCCACTGGCTGCTCAGCATTGCCTTTGGGCAGCACGTCAGCTGTCCTGCAGCAGAAGGCTACATGGAGGCTCAACACTGGCTGGGTTCAATGTCCAGCCTGGCACTAAACTTTTTATACATGGTGCCTGGATCATAGAATGGACCAATGGGGTGTGAGCTAAGTGAACCAATGGTGTTCATCAGGTCATTAGTTAATTATTTGGTGCCAGTTGGGCCATTTACCTTAAAATGGTCCAACTGGTCACTTAGAATTGAAAATGGTCCAGTCAGGGAGAGGCCCTAAAAGAAGGTAGAAGGCAACGCAGAAGCCAGCTTGAGCCTCCCAGGCTCCCATTTTGTGCTTGAAGAAAGAAGAAAGGAAGAAGAAAGAAGAAAGCATCCAGCTGCCAACCTCTGAAGAGAAGCCAAAGAGCTTTGGCCTTGCTGCTGCCACTGCCTGAAAAGAGCACCAAAGTCCCTGGGCCTGGTGTCTTAAAGAGCTGTTTGTTGTTGGTGTGGAACAACAACTCACAGGGAGCTGCAATGCTGGTATTTCTAACACCATCTCTGGTGACCAGGTAACCAGCACTACTGGCCAGTGCTGCCCAGCACCATTGACAGGTGACTAACACTCTGTGTCTGGGTCACTTTTGAGAGTTGTCAACATAGTACATGGTCCAGCACCATCTCTCAGTGTTGCTGCCTCTGTGGCAGTCTGATCCAGTGTCTAGTGTGTCTATCCTGACCTTCAGACCATTCCTGCAGTGTCATTAAAGTGGCTCTGCATATGAGCACCTCCAGCTGTGGTGAGGTGGACCCTGGACCCTGCTTGCCAGCATATCAAAAGCTCCAGGCCCTCGTTGGCTGGACAACACCATCTTGAATGAGTGAACTTTTGTTTGGGAATTTTGGACACTCTGGACACTATCTGGGGTGAGACAGCCAGCCACTTGTGGCCTTAGGAACTCTTTGTTTTCCCTGTTTGTTAAACAAACCCATTGTTGTCATTCCCTGAGTGGTCTTGCATTTGTGCACATAGGTGAGAACCCACAGACAGTGACCTGTAGGCTAACACTTTCATTCACTGAAAAGTTGAATAGACTTTTTCTAAACTCCATCTTGACTCACCATATGCTAATCTCCTCCCACTCCAAACCGGTTATTCCTGGTTTCCCTCATGCCAGTAAATGACAACTCCATCCTTCTAAATGTTCAGTCCAAAACTGTTAGGGCGTCCTTGCTGTTACACCCTATAACCAACCCATCAGCAAACTCTGTTAGCTCTGACCTTCAAAATACATCCAGAATCCAAATCTTTCTCAACATTTCCACTTGCTATTACCCTGGCTTAAGATACCACTTGCCTGGTCTCCCTTGCAATAACCTAACGGGTCTCCTTCAGCTCCCTTACTATTTCACACATGTCAGCAAGGATGATCCTGTTAAGACATAAGTGATGTGATTTCATCCTTCTGTGAAAAATCCTCCTATAACACTTTGGAAAAAGCTTACAATGATTGCCCCCACCACCAAAAAGCCTTAGTACGATTTATAAGGCTCCATAACACCTGGCCTTTGCCATCTACCTGTGCCCCCTTTGCTGACCTTCCTCCAGTCACACAAATCCCTTTACCTTTGCTCAAACATTCCAGTTACTCTCCCACCTCAAAGACTTCACTCCTGCTATTTCCTCCACCCAGAATCCCCATTCCTCACCTATTTGGATGTCTGATTTCCTCAACCCCTTCAAGTATTTGCTCACTTCCCCCTCTGCTGCACTCCTTACTCCCCTTCACTGCCTTACTTTTCTCCATGGCATTTAACACTTCCTGACACATCCTTTTGCATGCCCATTTCCTACTAAAATGTAAGCACCACAAGAGCAGGAGCACTGTTGCATTTTCTGACTTCTTTGCAGTCATTAAAACAGCACAGAGTAGATGGTCAATAAATATTGATTGAATTTTCTTGGGAGAATACAGTCTTCAACAAATTTCTCTCTCAACAAATGCTTAACTATGTATCTCTCAACTATCTCTCAACAAATAAATAAAATAGTTAACTATTTTATTAATTTCATTATTTAACATATGAAAACCAATATTCTAATTTAGAAATACAGAAAGAATAGCAAGAAATTTAAAAATAAGCAAAAAGGGGACTATACAATGTAAGCATATATTTAAATACACTTGTTTGTATCTATGTAATGTAATGAATACTTTAGGAAGGACCAGTAAATAGAGGCATGGTCAATTACCTCTTAACACCAAACAGAATTATGCTGAACAAAATGTTTTTGTAAATGGTGTGGGCCTGTGTGGGCCAGCTGCCATGAAGTCACAGCTACTAAAGGAGTGGGTTCTCAGCAGTGGAAGGATGTCCCCTTCTGATACAGGAAGTTATGCACTATGAGGCAAAAGCTGGGTTGCAGGCCATCCTTAAAGGATGGAATAAAAGTGATGTGAGGGCAGGCTCACTAAGCATTCGTGTGCTAGCAATCCTGCTTGTGTTTATTGTAAAAGGAGTCACAAAATGAAGATGGAGAGGTGGTGAGGGGAGAGCTATACACATGAGAGACAAAGGGTGGAGCTGTGAATACCACAGGGAATGTTTATGAGACAAAAAAGGTGGAGGAGACAAGAGAGGGAGGGAAGGAAAAAGAGCAAGCATGAGACACTATAAAAAATATTATGTAGGATGGTTTTATCCAAAGGAAAAGGAGAGGAATAGTCTCAGAATAGGACCTTGTGGAGTGTAGAGCAGTTCTCTATCTCATCTAAAAGAATTCAAGTTGTTTTTTTACTGCTGTGTCCAAAGATGCAAAAATGATATATTTTTGTATCCAGATCGTAGCCCGAGATCCCAGCCTTTCTTTCCTACCTTTTCATCTAGCATTATCCTTTTTCTACTTAGCCTAATTTCTCAAGAGAGAAATTAGCTTTCTTTTAGCAAGACACAGAAATCCACCACCTAAGTTTGGGTCAGATCAAATATGGGTTTAACTTGGGCTCAAACTATTCCAAAAATCAAAAGTGGGGATTAAAGGAAATAGTGTGATCTGAAACTGGAGGAAAAAGACAATCTGTCATTGCCCTAGCACCCCCCCCTAAATTCAAGGCCTGGCTTCCTAGAAGAGTAGAAGGACCAAAGGGAGATATTTGGTATTTTTCTTTTGAACCATACTGTCCAAGAGAAATATAATGCTATCCACAAATGTGAGAATTTATGTACTTTCAAATTTCCTATTAGCCATGTTTTCTTAAAGTAAAAAGAAACAAGTAAAATTAATGTGTTAACTAATATCTCAATAATGTGTTAACTAATATCTCAAAAATTTTATCATTTTTAGTACCAAAAATTTTTTTGCAATATTTTACATTTTTTTCATATGGAAACTTCAAAAATCCTTGATATCATTTAGATACATTCACAAAACTAGCACATCTCAATTTGGACTAGCTATACTTCATGTGTATGGTGCATGTGTATGGTGGCTACTATCCAGGACATGTGTATGGTGAGAGCTGCATGTATGTGGTGGCTACTATCCAGGACAATTAATTTTAGCGGCGACAGCGGTCCATCATTTATATTCTAAAGAAGGCTCACCAATAGCACACAAATTGTATCTTAAGTTCTTATGGTCAATAAAGTAGTTTAGTCATATAGTAAACTTCTTAAAAGCGCTAAGCCGTAGTGGGCTAAGTAGAAAAAGGATAATGCTAGATGAAAAGGTAGGAAAGAAAGGCTGGGATCTCGGGCTACGATCTGGATACAAAAATATATCATTTTTGCATCTTTGGACACAGCAGTAAAAAAACAACTTGAATTCTATCTTTTAGATGAGATAGAGAACTGCTCTACACTCCACAAGAAATTATCCTACTGATTTCAGAGTGGGTATTAATCTAGTATAAGGGCTAGCTCAATAGCAAAAGAGAAATGAAGATGGAAAAAGATAAACTTACTTGAATTTGTAACTTTCCCGCTTATTATTCACAAATCCATCTGCCAAATCACGAGGTAAGATAATTTCCAAGCTAGGTGTTAACTTTTCATCTTCCTCTATGGAGTAAATCTGCAAACAGGAAGACAACAAACGGATGTAAAATGGTAAAATTACTGTTGACCCATGGCTATGTTAATATAATGTGCATTGTCATGGAATAAAAATTGTACCTTTAAGATAAAAATTCATAGCATAATGTAATATGGATAATTTTCCTCTTTGAACTGTGTGGTGACTCAAACAAATAAATGGAACAGAACAGGAGGCAAAACCTAAATTAATGTTCTCTCCAAGCACAAATCGTCTTTGAAAGATCTAATGTTCAAATGTGAGCATCTTGAATGTGTCTCTTGTTGAGAAACTAATAGCCCTGAAAGAAACTATTATCTAAGTATTGCTTTGGAGCTATATAGCAGAAATCAACATTTTACTACAACCAACAAGCATTACTGAGCATTTACAAAATGCTCTAGACACAGAGATCAAAGGAGGAGGTCAGAGAACACACAAGAATGCTCTGATTCTAGTTGTATTCAAAGAAGCCCAAGTTTCTGTAAGACAAACCCAAGCATTTGATAAAAGAAATGCGGTTTTAAAAGACACATGTAATTCATGTCTTTGATGTCATTTTTAAGGTTCTCCTCCCATTTCAGCCACTAATTAGTAAATAACCTAGGAGAAATCACTTAACCTCTTTAAGCTGATATGGAAATGAAGGGTCTTAACCAAGCACCTTACATCTGTCATTTCTCTGATTCTATTTTTGGTTACCGACTTCTTCATTTATTGGCAGAGAAAAATGAAGAGTCAAGCCTATAAAGAAGTCACATGGAATAAAATAAGGCATGAGATTGGGTGTCTAAAGAACTGCGTGCAAAGCTGATTCAATTTGCTGATTGTGTGACAAGCCACCACTTTAAAAGTTTCAGTTCCTTATACATAAAACCAGGAAAACCAAATTGCCTCCATTCCAAGATTGTGGTGGGGATCAAATGATGTCATAGAAATGGAAGCATTTTGTAATGCCCCATAAAAAATGTTAGTCATTAGATTTAGAGGATTTTTAAAAAGACTTCTTGTCTTTCACCAGGAAAGAAAATTCTAACAGGCGATACTTCCGTTTAAGACTCATTTAGATGCTTGATTATGGGAAAAGCCATGTTCCTAATGTCTACCTAAATCTCCGGAAAGTCTGAATAATTTTCCTAAGCAGATTTTTATTGAGTCCTCTCATTTAAAATTTGAAGAATTCATGTAGAAAAGGCATTCTGTAAAAAAAATTATTTGTGGATAGCAATGGCATCAGGGCCAATGCTTTCTGTCTAGGTTTCTTCAAGAGACATTTAAAATGATATACTGTAGGACACCAGGTGAGTGAAAGGAGTGTGTAACACATGAAACATTTAGGAGTGAGGGGTGACACATATTTTAAAAAACAATTTGTTAAAACTCAGTGCTTACACGAGGGAAAGGATGCAGACTAGGTTAGAAGAGTGACCTCCATTTAAGTCATTTTCTGAGTCATTAAGAAAAGCTCACTTAGTCTAAGGATTGGCTTTCAATCTTTAGTCAGAAACATTTATTTGAAACAGAGTAGGGATTTTTAAGACTAGAAGACAACTAGATCAAATGCAAGAATGAATATGAAAATGTTTGATATGTGCAAGCACTAAACCAATGAAAAAGATTGCCATTGTTAAAATTATCACTAAAGTTCATCTTAAGTATCTTCTAATCTATTAATCTTTAAAATAGTATAATTTAATTTTACAGTCCTTGTGAAATAAGATTAATGAGGTATGGAACCACAAAAATTAAGAGAAAAGAAAAGTACCTTTGAATCACTCTTGTTTTAATGCTATAGGCAACACATCTAGTCAGAGAAATTGCCATACAATCTGGGGAACTAACTCAAAATTTGTTCATCTGCATTCTCTTATTTTTGTATAAGTGTAATAATGTATTTTGGTAAGAATGTGACATTATGAAAATACAGAATTAAATCTAAAAATACCTTCTGGGGTAATAAACAATCCACTGCACAGAATCTCACCAAAGAAATGCAAAAGAAGGCACATTAAAATAGCTGAATACTACATTTTAAATAAAGAGAAAGTTCAATATTAAATCTAAGATTCTCCATCACCCTGCCTCACCCCAATTTTATCCATCCTCTCACTTCACCACATCCAGGCAGGTTTTGTGACTACAGTCTGTGTAGTCTGCTCAACATTTTTAGCTAAGAATCTTATTTACTTTATACATATGATGCACTTTCAAATACCTTTTTGTGAGTAGAAGAGGAGAGAAAATGGAAGATATTCATGGTTCCATTCTATACTGCATTATTCCTTGGAAAGAAAAATGCCAATTTTTTTTTTGAATCATAAGATCTCCTGAATGTATTCAATGAATAAAGACTGATGATGATGTCAAAGATATCAAAGTACTGTATTCCCCTTGTTTTAAATAAACAAATTATGAGAGGAAATGCTAATTATGAGAAAAGAAAAATAACTTTGAATCGCTCTTGGTCTAATGCTACAGGCAGCATATCTAGTCAGAGAAACCACTATACAATCTGGGGAACTAACTTAAAATTAGTTGTGATGTTAAAGAAATAGATACATAGTTATACATACAGTGTAGATATGGGATAGATATAAAATATTACTAATAATATTGCTATTTCAGATATTTATGAATATGATACAGATTTCCCTTTCCTAAATCCTCACCTTGTGAGGCAAAAAGGTTTTGTCTGAAGGGTGAAGAGTCTCAAAATTTAAAAAAAAAATCAATTAAAACGATGGTGCTGCCACTCGATGGTGGATGGCTTTGTCACATATTTACCCTGACCACTCAGTTTCCTCATCTGTAGAATGAGCAAACTGGCACCTAAGTGATAAGAATGACTCTGCTCTTTTCCCGGCAGGAAAAAACAATGATTTAAAACATTTAAGAATCTTGCAAAGTATCTCTACTTAGAACAAAGACAATACGTAGAGGCTTCCTTGGATCCTTTCGAGCTTAGCACTGTAGAGGAAGCACCTAGTAAATGCTCAGTTAATGTTTTCTGGTTGGAGACTTTATGTGTATTCTTCGTTTCAGAATGTATAAGCATCTATCATCTGAAATGAGAATAATCACTAAGTTAGCAAAACTTTTAAGGGTTCACTGGGTGCAGAACCACAGTATATGCTTCGGGTACCTTTATCTATTTTCCACACCATCTCAGACGCATAAAGCTGTGCATGTCCTGCTTGCTCTTTTTGTGTGTGAAAACAGAGGTTTGAGTGAAGCATGACTGTTTCCCAGAAAGGTTCAAGAAGGGTGCGAGGCTAAGGTGCACTCTCCGTGAGGGTCCAGACATACACGCTCGGATATGGCCCTGCATGACCACATGTGCCCAGAGGCAGGTATAAGTGGCTCTTTGTAGGGCTCATCAGGCCAGCAGGGCTGAGTCGGGGGGAGTGGCCTGGGTGTCTGCGCGTCCCTGACAGCAGCGCACCAGTGTCTGCGAGGGCCCCGGGCATGTCCCGCCCTGCTATCCTGCGCTCCACGCCGAGCGCCTCAGCCCGGGCTACACCCCGCGCTCCAAGCCTAGCCCTTCAGGCCGCCCCAGGTCCCTCGCGTGCGCCCCTCCCCCGAACCGGGGCCCCGTCACGCCGGCGCCCATGAGCTACAGCCCGTACCCCTTGTTGCTGCTTCCGGACAGTGGGCTTCACCCTTGCGAAAATCTGGATCGTCTGCTTCACCATCTTCTCTGCACTGACCCTCGACCTTTCTCAACACCGGCTCCCAAAACTTCTAACTCCTACTACCTCAGGCGGGCTGCAGCCTTAGCAACAGTAACTGGGGACACTACCCAAGGAGCACCGCGGCAACCAGGGCCCCGCCTCCTCTCCCTAATTGGTTGTGAACAGGGCGTGGCCAGGGAGGGCCTGAGGGGCGGGGTTAAGGGAGAGGGCGAGCGAAGAGTGCTGCGCATGCGCGTGACCAAGGTCTGGGTTCCAGGGTCAGCTCTGGAGCTTAACTTACAGCGTGCCTAATGGGGTGGCAGCCAGTGTTCCTTGCCCCATTTTTTTAATGCTTTCTTTTTCTGGGGCCAGCACCTCTTTTTAGCACTGAAGTCATTATGTTTTTTTATTATTTATTCATTGAAGAAATGGCACTTAATCTGTGACAGGTACAATGCTTGTATTACTGAGCTGAGTAAAACTGCCTCCACCCACCTGGAGGTAAGAGTTTGAAGAAGACAGGTTTTTCTGAAGAAATTACAGTGCGTGGTCAGATTCGCACTTCATCTAGCTCTGGATGAAGGGAGACTGTTTCTGGTAAGGTGCTCATACCAGGAAAGGTTGGGCACTGTTGGTGATGTGTAAATTGGTGCAGCCACTATTAAAAACAATATGGAAGGGCCTCAAAAAATTAAAAATAGAGCTACCATAAGCTCAGAAACCCCTCTCCTCAGTGTATAACCAAAAGAAGAATTGAAATCAGGGTGCTACGGATGTATTTGCACTCCCATAATTACTGCAGCACTAAGCAAGACATGGAAATAAATGCCACCATAAGATGAATGAAAAAGAAAATGGGAGATAGATATATTTAAATAATTTGGCCATAAAAAATGAAGGAACTCCTGCCATTTGCAGCACATGAAAGAAACTGGAGGGTATTATGCTAAATGAAAATCAGACGGAGAAAGACAAGTACTATATAATCACACGTATTTGTGGAATATAAAAAATAAAACTCACAGGATCAAAGAGTAGAATGGGGGCTGCCAAGGGCTGGGAGGTGGGGAAATGAGGAGATATCGGTCAAAGGGGACAAACTTCCAGTTACAAACAAGTAAGTTCTGGGGATTTAATGTACAGCATGGTGACTGTAGTTAACAATATTGTATTATGTATTAAAGTTGCTAAGAGCATAGATCTTAAATGTTCTCATCACAAAAAAAATGGTAATTATGTGAAATGACAGAGGTGGTAATTTACTTTATCATGATAAGCATTTTGCAATTTATACCTGTATCAAAAGATGACATTTTACATCTTATACATAGTGTTATATGTCAATTATATCAGTAAAACTAGAAAATGAATTAGTGGATAAACAAGCAAAGAGAAAGGGTTCTTCAAAAGACTTGGTTAGCACATGAAACATTCAATAGCATTACCACCAGCTAAATAAACACACATTAATACCACAGTGACATATCACCAGATACCTATCAGAATGGGTAAAATAAAAACTAGTGACAACACAAGATGCTGACAAGGATATAGAAAAACTGAGTCACCTATACCTCACTGGTAGAATTTTATATTGTAAAATGCATCAGGTATAAATGTAAGGACACTCTGGAAAAAAGTTTCTTACAAAAAAGATACAACTACTATAACATCCAACAATTATGCTTATAATTGTATCCCAGTGAAATGAAAATGGTGTGTAGAGTAAATGGTTTTCATGCTTTTCTGCCCTCCCACCATTAGGATTGCCCCCCCTGATGGGGCACCCATAGTTGTTACATTGTTGCAATCTGTCTTACTGACTTCCGTGGGCCGTAGGAAGAGTATTGAGATAGTCACTGAGAGAAGCAAAAGCAGGAGAGAAGAATCAGGAGAGAGAAGGGGAGAAAAGAAGTCAGAGAAACCAGGAGTGATGACTTGCTGGGGGCCTGTCCCTCTCCCCGCCCCCCTGCCTGCCATGTACCTGTTTGCCACACTACATGTAAAGCTCAATAAAAGCCTGAGAAAGCCACCGAGGGCTCCAGGACTCTCCTTTACTCTGTCTGCTCTAATCATACAGCTATCCTGCTCAGTGGCACATCCTGCCCCTGTTGTAGAAATAAATTCTACTTTTTATCCAGGCAGAGGAAGAACAAGTGGTACTTCAGGAATGGTGAGGTCAGGAGAAGCTTTATTACTCATGCATGAGGTCCCAGACCTGGGTAGCCCCTTAAGGTCTGAGCACCTGTTTAAAGACCAAGAGTTCCTTTTATAAGCACAACTGTGTCCATATCTGTTACATTGATAACATCGTTTTTCAGCAGGCACAACCATTTGTGGCAAAGTCCCCAGACAAGGGGGCAAGGCAATGGGGGAAAGATGCAGGCATTCAGGGATGGCCTTGGAGAGACAGACCAGCTTGGCACGCTGCCCGACTTTGTAGATAAGAGTGCTGAGGCCCTGGCCATGAATCTTGAAAGGGAAGGTGCTGTAAGTAAGCAAGCTTGTTGATTATGCCTGCGTTGGAGTGTTCATTGCACCTGGGCTGGAAGTTCTGCTGTAATATTTATTATATTCATTTACTCAATAATATATTTTTGCTTCACCCCTACAGTGTGTTTGCACAAAAATCTGTACATGAGTGTTTGAAGCAGCTTCTTCATAGTACCATCAAACTGGAAACAGCACAGATGTCCTTCAACCGATGAATGGTTAAAAACTTGTGGAGTACTATTCAGCAATAAAAATGAAGGAACTACTGATACCTGTAGCAACTTGGACGATTTTTCCAGGGAATTATGCTGAATGGAAGAAAGCACACTCAAAAGGTAATAGTTTATGATTCCATTTATATAGCATTCCTGAAATGACAAAATTTTACAGTTGGAGAGCACATTGGTGATTGCCAGAGGTTAAGGAGACAAGGAGGGGGGATGTGGCTGTACAAGGATCCCTGTGATTGTACTGTATCTTGAATATGGTGGTAATCACAGAAATCTACAAATATGGTAAAACTGAATAAAACATCATATGCACACCTGCATATAAAACTGGTGTAAATTAAATAAAATTGATGGATTGTATAAATGAGCATTTTCTGGTTGTGATACTGTTATGTGATATGCTACCATTGTGGAAAACTGGAGGGAGAAGATGCAAGATCTTTCTGTGTTATTTTTTACAACTGTATTTGAATCTATAATTATCTACAAATGAAAAGTTTTTAGAAAGAAACTGAGAATGAAAAGACAAGCCATAAATTCTGAGAACATATCCAACCAAGGAAAAACATTCAGAATACCTTAAAACTCAAAAATAAATGGGAAAACAAGCAACCCAACTTGTTGAAAAAGGAGGAGTCAAAGATTTAAGTAGACAATTCCCACTATATGGATTATAAATACAGATGTGGAAAAGATGTTCAACATAATTAATCATTAATGAAATACAACTAAAGACCATGAGATACTTTGACACACCTCTTAGAATGACTAAAAATAAGAGAGTAAAACAGGCAATAATAAGAGCTTACAGGGATTCAGAACAGCTGGAACTCTCAGGCATGGATGGAAAAAATGCAAGATGAACTAGTCACTTTGAAAAATGGAATACACACACACACACACACATATCTGTATCTCCATCTACCTCTCTATCTTTCCATGTTCCCCAAAATCCCAATCCTAGGTATTTACCCAAGTGAAATAAAAGCTGGTGTTCACCCAGAAACATGGGCAGAATGATTGTTGTGGTTCTATTCACAACATAGTTAATCACAAAACTACAGGGGGTGAAAAACAAGTTAGTAGTACCAGGTTGGGGGTTGGAAAAGAGATTGGGAGAGGTTGTTGTCTTTTGAGGGGCTAGGGGTTGCAGGACCATATGAAATCCTGATTATGGTTGTGGTTATATGACTATTCACATTTCCATGGAACTACTAATACACTTAAAAGGAATATCTATACTATATGTAAATTATACTATTCTAAGAAAGGCAACAACTGAAGATGGTGTATGAACAGGTGCAGTAGTAGCAGGATGAAAAAGAGAAGAGAACCAGATATTTATAAAATAGATTTTAGTGGCTCTCTCACTTGGTGATGGGTGGTAGGAAAAAAGATGACTCAAGATTGGGCAGTTGGGTTGTTTGCATATCTTGGCTTTTGTGAATAGTGCTGCAATGAACAAGGGACTGGAGATATCTCTTCAAATTACTGATTTTGTTCCCTTCAGACATATGCTCAGAAATGAGACAACCTGTCCATTCACAAATGAATAAAGAATATGTTATATGGAATAACATATATGCAATAAAATCCCATTATTATAAATATATAGTAGTAAAATGGAATATATAACACATTTGTATGTATGTATGTATGTATATATGTATGTATGTATAATGGAATGTTATTCCATCATTAAAATGAAGGAAATTCCCACAATTTGTGACATCATAGATAAAATTGGAGGGCATCACGCTAAGTTAAATAAGCCAGACAGCAAACAGAAAAAGACAAGTACTGTATGATATAAGGAGAATCTAAAAAAAAAGAATCAAACTCAAGGAAACGGAGAGTAGAATGGTGGTTTCCAGGGGCAGAAGGGGTGGGGGGGAATGAGATGAAGGTCAAAGGGCATAAACTTCCACTTAGGGGTAAGTTTTGAACACCTAATATACAACCTCAATTATGAGTACTATAGTTAATAACACAATA